TCTGCAATTTGATAGGGAAATCAAGAGGCTTATTTCTCCAGAGTTAGACTTATAAGAGAAACTGTTGCTTTTAAGATCTAAGACTTCTAGTAATCTCAAGTCACCAAGAGAATGAGGAATTGCACCAGTAAATTGGTTAAAACTAACGTCTAGACCAATGAGACTTGAAGCATTTGAGATAGATGTCAGTTCAAGTACTCCACTTAGTCTGTTTCCCCCAACATAAAGATATTCAAGACTGGGTAACATAATGCCTAAAGTTGTTGGAAGACCGCCTGAGAGACCATTTGCTACCAACGATATTGCTTGCAATGATGAAATATTGAATAGTTTGGCTGGGATGGGACCTGTAAACCTGTTTGAATCCAGTGCTAAATACTCCAACTTGTTAAGGTAACCAATTGCCTGAGGTATCGTCCCTGAAGATCAAGCTTAGAAGTTATAAGATGCTTGACATGATGCTACAACCTTTTAGATGTTATAGACACTTCTTGACCCTTAATTGTTTTCCAATATGAGAAGCACCACTCTATTCTTTGCCTTCAATATTTAGGCATATTCACCCCTATTTTGTGAAAACTTCGTGTGGTTATTTAAAATATCATGCCATAGATGGTAACAACTTGAATTTATGAAACTTCCAAATTCACATTTGTGATGCAATTTAAATACTAAAAGAAATGAAGCACCAAAAACATAAGTGAAAAGAAGTAGAGTCACTATTGTACTACTCAGAGTATATATCAGAAAATGTAAAGCAATGCCTGCAACGAAGAAGTGGAATTTTAGAAACAACAACTTGGTCTTTAGATTAATAGAAAAAGTAAATTTGAGACATGAATTGTACTTTTTGAGACCGCCTGCAGAATATTTCTTTTCTTTTTCCCTTGTTCCCCCACAGATTCCAGAAAGTCTCATTTCAGAAACATGCACCCCCCTTCCCCACCCCCGAAAACCCCCCGGGGGAAAGCACAAGGTATAGGTGCTTATATATTTTCTTAAAAATGCAAGTTAATATTGTGAGACATGCAATAGTTCAACTCTGCATAAGGACAAGTGTGAATAATACATACCGGTCATTTCATTGTTCCTTATGTCCAGAACCGTAAAATCCTGAAGATTGTAAATATCTTCTGGAATTTGTCCTGCACAGAAGATCATGACTGTATACTATATGTATTTAGGATATGCACTTGCAAAAGAAAATTGGTTCACTTTTCTTCTTTGTCTCTTTTAAGTACTGCGCTTCTAAATAATTTATTTGAATCCAAAAAGCTGTGCGAACTTTCAAATCGTCTATGCCTTTTATGCTCAGGCCTGAGCATAGAAAACATGTATACTGCATTTGCATCCCATATATGTTTAATATATGTGGGTGGAGTGTGGATTTGAAGTTTGGCCCCAGACTATAGGGGCTCAAATAATTCCCAGTCCACAATTCTCTGGTTAGGTTTGAACTTTTGCAGAATCCAGTTTTCAATTAAAATTTAGATCAAATTCGTCACAGAGTTCATGTATCTGATGGGTAAACCCAGAAACGTTGACATTAATGGAACTATATTACCTACCTTTAAGATAGTTTTCTTCACGATAGACTGTCTGAAGCATGGACAGATTCCAAAATTCTCTCGGTATGGATCCAGTGAATTTGTTGGTGGCGAAGGAAAAATGTTGAATCCTTGAACATTTCCCGATACCGGAAGGAATTTCACCTTCAACTTGGTTGATTGACAAAAAAAGCCCTTGGAGTTGAGGGAGATGATTGCAGATATGTTCCGGAAGGGAACCAGATAAGCTATTATTTGTAAGACTAAGTATCTCCAGTGAAGAAAGGTTAAACAAAGACGGGGGCAGAGAGCCTGTAAGTTGGTTATGTCCTATGTTTACAATACTCAAGTTCTTGAGGCCACTGAACTCGTCAGGAATGTTTCCAGTGAATGAGTTGTGGCCCAAGTTGAGAGTCTCCAGCTTGGTTACATTAGAAATCCCACATGACATTAGCGAACCCGAAAAGTTGTTATATAAAAAGTTCAAGACCCGAAGTTCAGGCAAAGTCGCCAACCATGATGGAAAGCCTCCATCAAACGCATTGCTTTCCAGGTCGATGTATTTCAATCGGCGCAAATGAGACAGCTCAGTTGGAAGGTGTCCATGTAAGCTGTTATTCACAAAATTCAGCCGGACGAGGAATGAAAGATTTCCCAATTCTGGGGGTATGGTTCCCAGTAGTCCCATGTGAGGAAGCACGATGGCCGCAACTCTTTGATGGCGAGCGTTACAAGTGATTCCAATCCAGTTGCATAGAGAGGTAGAACTGGACCAGTTGGTTGGAATGATGTTTTGGGGATCTAATATGGTTGCCTTCAGAGCAAGAAGAGCATCCAGATCACGAGTGTTATTTTTAGTGGCAACAACTCTGAAACCGCCAGCAATTGTGGCAAAATGCATCACCAGCAAGGCTGAAAGCAAAAGGAAATTAGCTGCGTCCATGGTTATTTGCAAAATTTAGCTTTGTGGGCTTGTGAAATGGAACCAAAAGAACACGCTTGTCATATAAATGTATAGAGGTAGAAGAAACGTCTTGGGGAATGAAGAGTCTAATTGGATTGGGACTTTTCCCAACTTTGTTTCTGAAAGGGTTTTTAACGGTCTGTCAATGACTTCTTTATCGTATTTACGTCGTTTAATTAATAAAAGTATTATATTAATATTTTTTTAATAATTCAAATATCATCATGATCCTGAAAATTATTGACATATATATAAGTCAAAATCGGTATCAGTTAGATTTAAGATGAATTAACGGTAGATTTTGGGAAAATTAATAGTGAAAATTATTGGCAATTTTTCAAACTTCTATTTAACTTTCTTATTTTCTTTTTTTGTAAAGACCTTCATGCCCCAAAAGCACAAAATTCAAGATGAAATAGTATTGCATGTATTTTTTTCCCCGCAACAGCAATAATCTACCCTATTTCTACACAAGCTTACGCTATGGGGGAAGGGGAGCTCAAGGGAACATGTATGGGGGATTTGAAGTGAATCACCATATTAGATAAGTGTACTATTAAAATTTTGAATTTTTAAGAAAGGAAAAACTATAACTTTTTTGTGATACAGTAGACCGGGTTTGAATCCTCAACATAATACACGAGAGAGTTTCAAAGAGGATCTCCCTAACTATTGGACGAAATCCTAGCAAATTTTCAAACTTCTATGTAACTTTCTTATTTTCTTTTCTGTAAAGACCTTCATGCCCCAAAAGCACGAATTTCAAAATAAAATAGTATTGCACATATTTCTTTTTCCACAACAGCAACAACTCCATGCACCCTACTTCTATACTAACTTGTACTGTAAGGGAAGGAGAGTCTAAAGAGACACGAACAGGAGACTTGGGAGTAACCTATCAGATTAGACAAATGCATTTCTATACTCTGAAATTTTTAAGAAAAAAAAACACTATACTTCCTTGTAATGCACTAGACGGGATTTGAATCTTTGAGACCTAGCGCAGAGAGAGTTTTACGAAGGATCTCCTTAACTGTTGGAGCGAGGCCCAATGGTTGTATTGCATGTACTTAATGCGCATGAGTTCAACTAACCTTGAATTTCCCAAGAGAAAATAGCATGAAAACTCCAGTCACTAACGCTAGAAAAGCCATAAAAGGTTCCGCATTCGTCATTGTCTATTTTGAAAAATAATTATGTGCACATGAATTTCCAGTCAACTGCCTTATATGTCTTGCAAGGTTGAAAAGACTACCAAACCTTATTCTTCCACATAATGAAGCTTGGAAAAATTATTGACAGTCACGTAACATCACAATCGCGACGGACGTCGTCGGACACAGGTTCTTTGACTCTCTCTCAAATCTAAACTGAGCACTTATGGCGAGTTTTGTCAAGGTTGTCATTTGAGTGAAGGGGCATGGACAGTTATAATTCGAACTGTGTTACATTTTTTGAATAATCTTATATTTACCATTTTATACATATCTTCTCGTAATAGATGTAAATCTAGAATATCATTCTATGTTCCATTAAAAACATTGTCTACGGTGTCATTTGAATCTTACATTTGTTAGAATTAATTTGGTCTACTTTTGACCCTTATTCTCTGTCCCACTTCAAAATTTCCTATGAGTGATAGTCACTTGACACTGCAATAAGATCATAAAACATCTATCTTTACTTAAGACTTGTTAACAATGAGAAGGCAATCTTGACAAAGACCTGCCGTTGATGAAGACCTGTTATTCCAAGAGGGTTCAAGTCTCAACTCTTTTTTTTTTTTTTATAATATTTTAATATATTTATTTTTGATAAATAAAAATTTGAATGGGTTCGACTATAATGACTAACACGGGCCAAGTCTCAACTATACTTCTCTCTTTTTACAGATGAGAACAGGCTATTAGTATTTTTGGGGAACATAGTAGCCTAACAACCAGCACCTGCAGTCGAACACTAATGACTTCATCCACAGATGATTCTTCCCGCGAAAGTGTTAATTAATTTGGAAAATACCGGGTAAATAACTCCTATTCAGGACTGTACGCAATTTTGTGCAGCGAAATTTCATAATCGAAATTTCCATACAATTTGATATTTGATTTTGATATATGTTGTTGTGTGCTTGATTGATGAACGAACAATATCACACTCAAATAATTAGCTTTCGCTTATCAAAGTGACTACATCTCGAATTATCATCACCCATGCGTTGAGAATTTTAGGACTTGCCATTTCGAAAGACAATATTGATGAGATTGCATAGGCTATCAAGTTCTTATGATAAGTGAGTTATTCATGAAGGCAAGAAATTAATAAACTGAAATCTATTCTACTGCCCTGCATTCATGCCTTGTTTAATATGTCTTACATCTCAGCTCTGTCTCTTTCTTAGATGAGTTGCAGACATTTTCACTGAAGGTCATTTCCATAGGACAGTTCCAGGATCTGACTTGCAAGCTCAAGATAATATGCACAAGATACAGTGGGATAACTATGTAGACAATTAACCACCAACGTATTCTTTGGAGGAAAATACAAATTGTTGAGGACATTGCAAATAAACCATTGTTAAAAAGCTACCTGAATCAGCAATGCTGCATCAGGAAATACAGAAAATGACATCCCTTTTGAGGGGGGAAAAAATCTCACTCTTGTCTTGAACTTGAAGCATTTGGTAGGTGCACCAAGTCGAATGAAAGAATTGACCACAATTACACAGTATGCCACTGCCATATATTCAGAACAGAAGAGAATTAAGGGTAATGCATCGATGAATTTTTGTTTTTTGAATAATTATCTGATATGTCATGAATTCCAAGAAGAAAATTTGCAATTTTTAGTTATCTTTATACAACAGTTATATACCTGCTTCAAGGTTTGAGCCCCTCGGAGAATTGAAGTTTGATCTTCTGGAGTGTTCTTAGGACATCTTTCATGCTCATTCTGTCCTTAGGAGCGTCTGGTGTACAACATAAAGCAAGTTGCAAGATAGATGATATGCACGCTATCTTATTCTTGACTACTTCATCTTCAAGATGAACTAAGTCCACATCTATAACCTGAATCACGGAATCTGGTAAGGATTCTTTTACCCATCTCTGCAGGCTTAGTTCTTCAGTAAACATCTCATCCTTGGGCCCCCTCTTTGTAAATGTCTCCATCAGTATAACCCCAAAGCTATATACATCATAACTTGTTGAAACCAATCCTTCTAGTCCATACTCTAGCATCAAAATTGAGTTAAAACTTTTTGTCAAGTTCAAGTAGTGATACAAGTTCTTTGTTTTCCTGAAAGTTGAAACATTACTTGAGTGACATCAAAAGTTAGAGATTGGATTCAAGAAGAGTCACCTGGGGCAATATATCCAATTGTAGCGAGGGTCTTTGTTTGTACCACACTTTCTCCATCTCCCAATAATTTCGTGATTCCAAAATCGCAAACATGGCCAACCATATATTGATCAAGAAGAATGTTGCTAGGCTTCAAATCACAGTGGACTACAGGAGTTGAATAACCATAGTGAAGATATTCTAAACCACAAGCCACATCTATCATAATGTCCAACCTTTGCATGGTATGCAAGATTTGGTTGCCTGAATAAAGCCATTTGTCTAGACTTCTATTAGGCATGTATTCAAGTACTAAAGCTTTAAAGTCAGGGTTAGAGCAAGCACTGATAACTTTAGTCAGATTACGATGACGAAGACTACGTAGGACTTCAGATTCTATATCAAAGCTTTTAAATGCACCTTCTAGCTGCAAATTGAAAACCTTTATAGCCCAAATCGTCCCATTTTCACGTACTCCCTTGTAAACTGAGCCAAAGGCTCCCGAGCCAAGTACCATATCATCATTGAACCCATTTGTCATCTGTCTAAGTTCATGATAGGATACCCTTTCAAGTGTTGCTTCTGGATCAAAATTAGTTGGAATCACAATTTTTCTTCTCAACTTTCTTATCACCAAAAATGAAATGACCATGGCTAAGATTGCTGATCCAAGTGCCAACAATACAGGCAAGAAAATCTTTTTCTTTGATCTATGTTCAAAAGTTTGACAAGGTTGGAGCCAAGAAGCATCACACAAAGCTTCATTTGAGAGAAAAATAGTTCTGTAAAGTTGGCAAATTTTCCTCCATGTGGAATTGGTCCTCTGAGTCTGTTGAAAGACACATTAAAGTATACAAGATTTGAGAGTGCTTCCAGTGACTTGGGAATTTCACCAGCCAAATTGTTAAATGAGAAGTCCAAATACTGTAACTCCAACATATTCTTCATGGAATCCGGAATAAATCCTTGTATCCTGTTATGTTTCAAGGATAGTGTCTGTAACTTCTCTAGTACTCCTATGGCTGTAGGGATATCTCCATAAAAGTCATTAACAGATAGGTCCATCATGATTAGCTCCTTCAAATTTCCAATTTCTGAGGACAAAGAACTGCTAAAAGAATTTTTGGACCAATTGAGCTCCAATATATCCCCAACTCTCCACAAGCTTGAGGGCACAATAGAAGTTAAATTGTTGGAGTCCAGATAAAGATATCTTAGGGAAGTCATGTTCTCTATGCAACTAGGAAGCATACCAGAGACCATATTACTTTTCAAACTTAAAAGGCCTAGGTTGAATAGATGACAGAACTGACGTGGAAAAGGTCCCTCTATTTTGTTATACCCAAGCTCAACTCTCTGAAGGTTCAGTAACCCTCCAATAGTTCTTGGAATGGTCCCTTCCAAGGCATTTCCAGACAAATTGAGGTCTGCCAAGTTGCTTAAGTTTCCAATGGAACTTGGAATATGGCCAATAATTCCACTACTATCTAAATAAAAGGATTCGAGAGTGCTTGAAAGATTTCCAATAGAAATTGGAAGGAAGCCATTCAAAGGATTCAGACTTAACCATAACTGCTTTAGATATCTGCAATTTGATAGGGAAGTCAGGAAGCTTAACTCTCCGGAATGAGATTCATAAGAGAAACTATTATCTCCAAGAGCTAAGACTTCTAGGAATCTTAAGCCACCAAGAGAATGAGGAATTGGACCATTAAATTGGTTAGAACCGACATCTAAATCTACGAGACTTGAAGCATTTGAGATAGATGTTAATATCATCCCACTTAGTCTGTTTCCCCCAATAAAAAGATCTTCAAGATTCGGCAACATAACGCCCAAAGTTGACGGCAAATTGCCCCAGAGATTATTTTCTACCATCGATAATGTTTGCAGTGATGAAATATTGAATAGCCTAACGGGAATGGGACCTGTAAACTTGTTTTCATCTAGTACTAGAGCCTCTAACTTGGTAAGATAACCAATCGCCTGAGGTAGCAAACCTGACAAAGAGAGTTCGAAAGTGAGATGCTTGAGGAAATTAAAAATGAAATAACCTTCCTAAATGCAAGCTTTAGCTTCTGACTTAGGACGTAACTTGCACATCTGAAACTATTAATATTTTGTAGACTAGGGGCTTCAAGTGTTAATTTTGTTGCAAAGGTATGGTTAATTTGGAAAAGTCTAAATGTAGGGGGTTTGAATGAAGATTACGCATGTACTTAAATGCTCAAGTCTTAATTTATTTATTTCTTAAAATAAAATATGCCTAACAACTACTTGAATTTGAACACCAGATTAAAATATTTTATCCTATGTATATTATATAAATTAATTCTAATATTATGCTTGTGTGTCATATTTGATTATATTTTCAAATCTTAAATTTTATATCTACAAATTGAATGTTAATATGGAAAATGTGTCTTTGTATGTGTATGTGTGTGTGAGAGAGAAAGTATGCATCTATAAATGAAATTTTTCCTGTTTGAAGGGGGGGAAAAACGCATATTTTTGTGTTAAACTCTTTAGTCTAGAGGTAAATTTCTCTTCTTCTAATCTCTTTTGTCCTAGTTGAACCATCTTTTAGTACAAGTTAGTTTAGGAGTAGGTGTAGTGTTAGATGTTGATGATTGATACAAAATGTTTTGTAAAAAAAATACTCTATCCAATACAAAGAGGATTATGTTCACAAGCGTGCGTTGAAATAGAAACTGTAAGAGAGATATTGATCTAGAACGTTTGGGGGCATAACTTGGTAGATTCGAGAGTGGGTTCAAGTCGTCAGATCGTGCACGAAAAGGCTGAAGAAAAGAAGCGTGTGCGTGTTCCAACTCAAGAATCATTGCCAGATCCAAAGAAGGTCAGTGCAGGATCTCAAGCAGGCTAGAATTTTTTTAGTCTACCCAGCACCATGTTGGGCCAAATCTCACATCGGCCAGGCGCGAGTTATTTAGCAATTTCTGTGTTTTCTCACTTCGGGGGGTGGTGGTGGCGATAATTTGTCCGGGTGAAGAGTTTGAAACTTAGAATGAGATCTGCAAATCTAGCTAAGAGCTATAAGCCTCTATTCCATACTCCGGTTAACAATAAAAGCAAGGGATGGGAGACTCATTGAATGAGCAATTTGTGACTTAAGGTTTATTTAAGTTTTTGTCCGTATCATTGAACGGGTCCATTTATCACGTAATGGTTGTATGGGAGAAGGGAGTCATTGGATGGATGATAGTGATGGTGGTTGGCAGCAAAAGGTGAATTAAATTTAAGAGATGGCTACATATAGAGGAAAAACAAATGTCATGCCAGTTTGATTGTATAATAAAGTCATATAGAATAGTGAATTCGGATTCTTTATGTTGCACTTGCAACTATTGAACCACACACTAGCTTAGCTTAGTCCGATGTTGGCAATTCATTCTAATTTTTTGATTCTAAAATGAACTGATCAGATTTGCTGAGCGAATTTGCTCTGAGCTAGCCCATTCATGTGAATGGCAATGTTCAATAAGGCACATGCGTTTAACTCTGCATAAGGTGGATAACATACTGGTCATGTCAGTATTGGCTAAGTGAAGAATCCTCAAATTTTGAAGATTATGAATATCGTCTACAATTGGACCTGCACACAAAAATCCAGGATTCCCATAAGTTTGGAAAATATACTTTTCTATACTTAGATACGTTTGGTCAGTGGTTAAGAATGCTCTTGAATGCATGGTTATGTGAAGCATACGTATGAATATACATATGTTGGATGTAGGCCAGGTTTGCGTTTGGATCTTGGTCCATGATTTTTGGCCCCGGATTATGCCCAAACCATGATTCTATGCTGGGTCTACGTTTGAACAGGTTTAGTTAGGGACAAAATCTGTACGCAAAGACACAAAACTATCATGAATTTGAATGAAATCCAAGCCATTAACATACCTTCAAGATAGGTGTTACCAAGACGGATCCCCTCAAGCGCAGTTAGATTCCAAAATTCTTTGGGTAACGATCCATTGAATTTGTTGTAGGATAAGGACAAATTTTGAAGCCTTGAACATTCTCCAATACCAGAAGGAATTTCGCCTTGAAGTTGATTGTATGATAAATAAAGCCCTTGGAGTTGAGAGACATGTTTCTTGCAGATATCCCTCGGAAGGGAACCAGATAAGCTATTGCTCGAAACACCAAGTTTCTGCAGTGACGAGAGGTTAACCAAAGACTTGGGCAGAGAGCCTGTAAGTTGGTTAAAATCCAAGTTCAGCCCGATCAATTTCTCAAGAGAGCTGAACTCGTCAGGAATATGTCCCGTTATTGAGTTGTTCGGCAACAGGATAGTCTGCAACTTTGTTGCGTTGAAAAGCACACCTGACAATGAACCATAAAACTTGTTATATCCCAGAGATAAGTACTGAAGTTCAGATTAAGCTCCCAACCATGAGGGAAGCCTTCCACCAAAGCTGTTGCCTGCCAAGCTAATGTATCTCAATCGGCGCAAATTAGACAGATCCGGTGAAGGTCTTCCGTGAAAGCTATTATTTGGCAAATTCAGCCGGACCAAGAAAGAAAGATTTTCAAGTTGGGGAGGTATGGTGCCGATTAGGCCCATGTTCGGCAGGTCAATGGCTGCCACTCTCTGATGGCGAGTATTACAAGTGATTCCGATCCAGCTGCACACAGAGGCAGAACTGGACCAGTTGGTTGGGAGGATCCTCTCGGGATCGAATACGGTTGCCTTCAAGGCAAGAGGAGCATCCAGATCACGAGTATTGCCTGCGGAAAAAACTTGGACACAAACCGAAGTTGGGGCAAAATGCAACAGTACCACCAAGGCTGCAAGCCAAAGGGAATAAGCTTTGTCCATAGTTATTTGCAATATTTGGATCATGGACTGCTGAAATGCAACCAAATGGGGGTGCTTGTTTGATAAATGTATAGAGGCAGAATCTAATTCTTGATGGTACACACAAGCAGTACTATATGCAGGTAAGTGATTAAAGCCATTGTTTAATGCGTGAAAGGTGTAAATTTATAGGCAAGCTTTGGATTAATTCAACAACCACACTGTGATATTTAAATTTGGAATACAAATCTAAATTCAAAGAATATCAATTGTCAAGAAAAAACTGAGATATGTTACAAGTTTTACGCAAGGAAATCAAAATTCAAGAGAGACTCAAACGATTTTTCTTACATTAAAGGAAAGCATAAATATTTCTTGTCAATACTGTTGTATTAGATTAATTTATCGTTAAAAAGTAATGCTATAAAAACTTTTGCATTGTGCTTAGAGGCTTAAATGAAAAATACAAATCATCATTATATTATACTGTATAGAAAGCACTATGAGTCTTGGTACTTTAGAGTGTAAGTGTAAGCATTGTTATGATCTTAATTTTTATTATTTCAATTATATCCTTATTAATTGATGATTGAAGTTTCATACTATGCTCTTTTGCGTTTTTAATTTATTATGATGATTAAAATTCATTATATCATATCTATTGATGACAACAAAAAATGTTAAGCATTAGAAACTAAGTAGGATCGGATCTTTGTTTTCGATCTGTCCAAAATACCCTTCTTCCTAATAATTAGATTTTTTGCATTTCAATAATAGCAATAATTGTAGCAGTTAGAAAAAAATTGTAACCTTAATTAAATTAATTTGAATTAAGAAGACAATAAACAAAATATAACATTTCAATTAGAACCAACAGTATTCTTAATTCTATTTTCCCCTAACAGTATTGGTAGGCCTGATGAAAAGATGGGGACGGTTTTCTTCAGATAGTCAATGTAGAGAACTGTTGATGACACCATTGAGGAATTTCCATGTTTCCATGAGGGAACCCCAGAAGGGGCCAAAAGTGCGATCAGCCCAGATGACAAAACTACCATTTCCAAGAAAAGCAATACAGAGCTCAACTATGAATTGGTGAGAGCTTCACAAGTACTCCAGATAAAGGGAAAGACGAGAAAGAGTATCAAGACTGGCAAACTTTGAAACATGACAACTTCTATAGGGTATATTAATATCAAGGGAGGATTGACATAGATGGACATTGCAAAAGTTAATTGTAAAAATTTTTCCTTCCTAAGGCAATTACACCAAACATGGTTGTTTTTTACAATGAAAATCTTTTGGGATGTGATGACAAAATCCAAATGTTCAATTTTACTTTCGGATTTTAGCCTGTCTAATGAGCATAGATTTGTCGAAGCTCAGACCAAGTCTTTACGAGTGCAATAAATGGACCCTAATGGTTGTTGAAGGAGGGGACCTCAACTTCTAGAATTTGAAGAGTCCACACGGTGGAGGACACAAAATTGACAGCGAACCACAGCCAGAGATAAGTATGCGTCTATAGTTTATCTTTCAGCTGAGATGAAGATGGTTAGGTGTCAGGAAAACAATATTTGCCCAAATTGAAGCAAAACGTGGACGTTTCATTGAATCGAGCAAATTAGGTTGATTGAATGTATCAGAGTAACTGTGACGACGCCGTATAGATTAGGAATTCATAGAACGACGTCGTGTGAACAAACAACAGAATTAGTTACACGAATTCTGCTGAGTCGGTCATCTGTCCTATTTGTACGTGTATGATTGGCTAAGAAAGCATCGGAAGTAATAACAGAAATTCATTTCTTTCCCTCTCACTTTCTCTCTCTAATCTTCCCTCTCTTTCTCCCAGACCTTCTTCTCTCTTCTCTCCTCTGCTAAATTCTTCCCCAAACTTCAATCCATCGCCTAATCAAGATCATCCATGGAGACAGTAGCCTTACAAGTGGTATCAGAGCAGGCGAAATCCTTGGACACATCAAGAACTGATGGTAGAAAGCACCAGATTCAAGACACTGGAGGAACAAGTTAGAAAGCAAGAGATCCGACTCCAAGAAGTACTGGAAGGTCTACAGTCTTCACAATCACAACAGCAACAGATGCAGAGTGAATTTCGCAATGAGCTAGAAGAAAGCAGCAGGAGAATGGAGGGGTTGATAACAGAAATGAAGCAGGAATTCAGTACTTTCATGAGAGCAATGGTCAGCCGAGAAAAAGTGGTTCCAGATGAGGACAAACCAAGGGTGGAGCAGGCACCTCTGTTACCCACGCCTCTATTAAATCAAAGGCTGCAGGTAGGATCTGAAAATAACAGGACGTCAAGGAAAGAAACAAGTAAGATCCTGATCCCAAATCCTCCTAGAATTGATTTACCTATGTTTACTGGTGATAACTGATAGGGTATAATTTGTTAGTAATTTTATTATTAATTTCCCCTTCTATCCCGGACAAATATTGTGTTAATTGCTGATATTTACTCATATTTGATATCTGGACCCAATTCCAGGAGTGGAGCAGATAACTACAAAAAGAGGGACTTTTGGATGCAAATTTGGGAGACTCCAGCAGAAAGCCTCAATTGGCTGGGACCACAAGAGCTACAAGAGCTAGTAAAGGCAACGTACAAAGCCTTAGGAACAAGAAGTAATTCGGCAGCTTGTGGCCAATTGGTGGGGACCGCGCAGAGGCACAAAACAAGGAGATGAATTCGGCAGCTTGTGTCCAATTGGTGGGGACCACTGGATATCTTTCCTTTGGCTTTAAATAGGGAGCTAACGTACAGAGGCGAGGGACCGCTTTTAGTTTAGCTTTTTAGCCTAGTCTTTAGTTTAGTTTTTTTCTTTCTTTTCCTTGGACTGGCCTCTGACACACGCCAGGTGCTTGACAATATTCCCCAACGGGGAAAACCTCCTTCATTCCTTATTTCTTAGTACAAAACGATGCCTTCGCAATTTATTAACTCGTGTGGTGATTTAATTATGCGGCGTGGCTAAGTCTTTCATCTAGTCAAGGGTCAACTCGACGGCGCAGTCCCGAAAATCTGTGAGATCTAATTAGTTTTCACGTGTTCCTTTATCTATTAATATTTGCATGTTGTCTGATTTAATTTTCATGGGATTATTTTATGAATTGGATGTCAAGGGCCCGATGTTCAACTTGATTTATTAATCTCGTGCCAATTTAGTCAATTAAATCCGTAATGGTTTGATTGATTAATATTAGTGGCAACTGGTGTGTTTACACATTAGAGGAATGTGCAATCTAATTTAAATAACCCTCGTAGCGTGTTATTGATTAGGGCTAGGTTTTTCTGGTTATTAATGCAATTAGAAAATTAATTCCTACGGTCGTACCTAGGAGTACTTTTCTGGTTAGGGGTGATTAATGGTCGTACCTTGGTCACCTATAACTTAAGGAAAAATTGGTTGTCAGACTATAACTAGCCTATTAATACATTAAGTGAACCTCTCCTGCATCAATGATCGGATAAATGGACTGTGCCTGAGTAGTTGTATCCTTGACTAGAATTTATTTATTCCTGATTAAATTCCTGCTATATTTGCGCTAGTTATTTATTCATTTTTAGTTAAATTGTTTAATTGTTTTTAGTTGCATTCCGGTGAAATCCCCCTTTATCAATTGGACTTTGAAAGAGACAGATATCTCCAGTCCCTGAGGAGACGACCCTACTTGCCACTGTCTACTATTTAGTAATTTTTGTCAATTAATGAATTCTGGTATATCGGGTTAAGCAAACTCTTCGGGAATAGGGTGAATCAAGTAACCCATTGCACACCTAGAGTCCCTGCTCCAGTACCTAGGATTAATTATTGACTGCTTTTGGTGGTAGATAGGTTCTATTTTTATTATTATTATTGCACAGGCTGACGACCTGTCAATTTTTGGCGCCGTTGCCGGGGACTGGCGTTATTATTTGTTTCTTTTTAAATTCAATTTTGTCCTAATTTTCTGGTCTTCTTCTAGTGTATGCCTCGATCTTCTCGTACAGGTGATTTGATTTTTGACCACGAGATAGAGAAGACCGCGCGTAGAACGAGAAAGGAAACCAGACAACTCAGAGAAGAGCACTCCAGGGCTACATCTCAAAGACCCGAGTCAGAAGTTGAACCAACAGATTCGTTTGGTGACACTTCAAGTGACTCTGACCAGGAGGAAGGAACCATGGCTAATGCACAAACATTAAGGGAGTTGGCTGCTCCTGATTTAACTCAGCAGCCTTTGTGCATTACTTTCCCCGCTTTAAATGACAACATTCCATTTGAACTAAAATCTGGTCTGATTCAGCTTTTACCCTCTTTTCATGGTTTACCAGGTGAAGAGCCGTATAAGCATCTGCAGGAGTTTGATGTTGTTTGCAACAGTATGAAACCCCCGGGAATCACAGAAGAGCAGATAAAAATGAGGGCATTCCCCTTCTCCTTGAAAGATTCTGCGAAGGACTGGCTGTACTACCTGTCACCAGGTAGCATCACCACGTGGGGCCAATTGATGAAAAAATTTTTGGATAAATATTTTCCTGCATCCAGGGCTGCAAGTCTAAGGAAAGAAATTTGTGGGATCAAACAGCATCCAGCGGAGTCACTTTACGAGTATTGGGAACGGTATAAAAACTTGTTGCGCAGGTGCCCCCAACACCAAATAAGTGAGCAGTTGATCATACAATTTTTTTATGAGGGACTCATTTTTAGAGACAGGAGCATCATTGATGCTGCAAGTGGAGGGGCACTGGTGAACAAAACCCCTCAGGAAGCACGGGAGTTAATAGAGGGGATGGCAGAGAACTCACAGCAATTCAGTACAAGAGAGGATGTTCCAATACGTAGGGTGAATGAGATAGAGACACCCTCTGTGCAGCAGCAGCTAAATGAGTTGACTGCTTTTGTTAGGCAACAGGCTGTGAGAAATGCATCACAAGCCAGGGTATGCGGGATTTGCACTGGTATAGGCCACTCTGCAGACATGTGCCCAATGATTCAGGAAGAAACTGCAGAACAGGTGAACATGGCTGACCACGCGCCCGCGCCAAGGAAGCAGTACGACCCTTACTCAAGCACCTACAACCCCGGGTGGAGAGATCATCCCAACCTCAGTTATGGAGGGAATATGCAACCCAACTTTACACCGAACAGGCAGTCTAGCTTTGTGCCAAATAAGCCACCAGGGTACCAGCAGCAATACCAACCCCGACCACCTCCGCCCCCTCAATCCGGTTCATCTATGGAGGAGATGATGAAACAAATGATGACAACCATGGCGCAAAATCAGCAAAGGACAGAGGCAACTATTATGCAAAATCAGCAAAGGACGGAGGCAACCATTATGCAACATCAGCAAAGGACGGACTCCGAAATGCAGGACATAAGGAATCAGATAAGTCAACTGGCCACAACAATCAACCGCTTGGATGCCCAAAATCAAGGTAAATTGCCATCTCAACCTGAGTTGAACCCGAAGAATGTGAGCGCCATGACCTTGAGGAGTGGCAAGGAAGTTCAAGGGCCTGAGCCTGTGATCCCCAAGGACAAGGATGAACAGAAGATCGAAAGTGAGCTCGAAAGGGAGGACAGCAATGGTGCAGATCCACAGGTACTTCCTGACCCAACAATTACAGTTAGGACTAACCCGCCTCCTTTTCCTAACAGGTTGGAAAAATCAAAGAAGCAGGATAAGGAGAGGGAAATCTTGGAGGTTTTTCGCAAGGTTGAGATAAATATCCCCCTCTTAGACGCCATCAAACAAGTACCAAAATATGCCAAGTTCCTAAGGGACTTGTGTGTCAACCGAAGGCGATTGAGAGGGGATGAACGGGTTATTGTTGGGGAGAATGTGTCAGCGGTCCTGCAGAGAAAGCTCCCACCAAAGTGCGGGGACCCAGGTATGTTTACTATTCCCTGTAGGATAGGTAATACTGTGATCAGAAGGGCCATGTTGGATCTGGGAGCATCAATTAATGTCATGCCTAAGTCTATCTATGCTTCTCTAAAATTAGGTCCATTAAAAGAAACTGAAATTATCATTCAATTAGCTGACCGAACTAATGCATATCCTGATGGGTTGGTTGAAGATGTATTGGTAAAAGTTAATGATTTGGTGTTTCCAGCTGATTTTTATGTACTGGATATGGATGATGATCACTCCCCTGATCCCTCACCTTTGTTATTGGGTAGACCTTTTATGAGCACTGCACAGACGAAAATTGATGTTAATAAGGGTACCTTGTCCATGGAGTTTGATGGGGAAATTGTGCATTTTAATATTTTTGATACTATGAAATACCCCTCGAACTCCAACTTTAGCTCAGTTTTCTCTGTGAGTGCTATTGATCCTGTAGTGCAGGAAGTGTTTGAAACTGATGGCAGGGATGAGTTGGAGGTGGCTTTAACCAAGCACCTCGAGTTGGAGACAACTCCTCAGGTGGAGTGGAGTGAGGATTTAAAATGCACAATAGGTGCATTACACTCATTGCAGACCACCAGGAAAAGGTATGAAGTCTTACCTATTTTTACTCCCGAGGCTCATCAGAGGGTATTGCCATCTGTGGTGCAGGCACCTGTACTGGAGTTGAAACCTCTACCAGAGCACCTGAGATATGCATATTTGGGTGATAATGAGACACTCCCGGTGATTATTTCGTCGGCACTGTCAAAAATCCAGGAAGAGAAATTGATCCGGGTCCTTCGGGAACATAAAGAGGCGATAGGCTGGACAATCGCAGACATTAAGGGGATAAGCCCGGCCATCTGTATGCACCGGATTAGGCTAGAAGACGATGCCAAACCTGTTAGGCAGGCTCAAAGAAGGCTCAACCCCCTCATGATGGAAGTTGTAAAGAAAGAGATTCTAAAACTGCTAGATGTGGGGATCATCTTTGCAATATCTGATAGCCCTTGGGTGAGTCCGGTTCAGGTAGTCCCGAAGAAGGCAGGAGTAACGGTAGAAGCCAACCAAACGGGTGAGCTCGTGCCAGTGCGCAAACCCACTGGATGGAGGCAGTGTATAGACTACCGTTGGCTGAACGCCGTCACTAAAAAGGACCACTTCCCTCTCCCTTTCATTGACCAAATGGTTGAACGTTTAGCTGGTAAGGCTTATTATTGCTTTTTGGATGGATTTTCAGGATACTTTCAGATAGCAATTGCCCCAGAGGATCAAGAGAAGACAACCTTCACGTGCCCGTTCGGGACCTTTGCCTACAGACGAATGCCATTTGGGTTGTGCAATGCACCTGCGACTTTCCAACGATGTATGGTAAGTATTTTTTCTGAATATGTGGAGAAAATTATTGAAGTTTTCATGGATGATTTCAGTGTATATGGTTATAGTTTTGATACGTGTCTAGATAACCTGAAATTGATCCTGATAAGGTGTATAGAGACTAATCTCGTGCTTAATTGGGAAAAATGTCATTTTATGGTTGAACACGGGATAGTCTTGGGTCATATTGTATCATCTAAGGGCATTGAAGTTGACAGAGCTAAAATAGACGTTATTTCTGCATTACCTTACCCCGCAAATGTGCGGGAGGTGCGTTCTTTTCTTGGGCATGCAGGTTTTTATCGAAGGTTCATCAAGGATTTTTCAAAAATTGGGGCCCCGTTGTTCCAACTCTTGCAAAAGGATGTAGCCTTCGAGTTTGATGACAAGTGTGAGAGAGCCTTTGACAAGCTGAAGGAATTGTTGACTTCACCCCCAATCATCCAGCCCCCCGATTGGAGGTTGCCATTTGAGATCATGTGCGATGCCAGTGATCATGCTGTTGGGGCTGTACTGGGGCAAAGAGTAGGGAAGGCAGCTCACGTCATCTACTATGCATCCCGAGCATTGAATGGAGCCCAGTTGAATTACTCCACCACTGAGAAGGAGCTTCTTGCAGTAATTTTTGCTCTAGAAAAGTTCAGGTCATATCTGTTAGGTGCTAAAGTGATTGTATTTTCTGATCATGCA